ATATTTTCGAATCCTTGTAAGATAACACTTTATCATTCGGTGAGGTCATGAAGATGTTGGCAGAAAGTAACAGTTTCTAAGGCATTTGAAATATAGCAGCAGAAATAGCTGCAGCAGACGATCAAGGTTCTTGATGAATCTTGAGATCATGACCATTACATGCTTCAACCTTCACGGAGTTTTTAAGATAAACACGCCATATTTTTGTGCACGGTAAAGTATGTTTTGATAGGAAACTTAACGTTCTTTGGAGCTTACATATCACATTACAAGCTGACCTTTTCACGTTTAAGTCGTCGCAGAATCCTTCACACTACTTCTGTAGAACTATGGTCTACTATGATATTAGTACTGCTCTAATAATAGACCTAATCCTAAATTTGTAGATTCGTCATGATATAACTGCCTAATCTATAAGATCTTACGTGGAAGTCACACCATCGACTACGCCAACTCACTGTATCGTATCAATTACCAATACATGATGAAGAACGAGGTTAGGTTAGAGAAAGAACAATATATTTAATATGAATAGAGACCACGCCTGCATGGCCGAGCCATGCCACTCGATCAACTCCAGTCCATTCAATTCATTGTTCGCGCCTTCTCCATTTTTAGGTATTTCTCGGCGTTAAATATTGAATATTTATTTTCTGAGTAGTCTCGTGTTCACAGCTTTGTGGATTGTGTGGCTATTGTCCAATGCCACTACACTACTCTCCCACCAGAATCAACGTGATGTTGGTTCGATACCAAATTGGATGGGATTGTCGCGCGCCGGAGGTTGCCAAGGATAATAAGAATCCTCCGGGTATTGGTAAGCTGAAAGATAAATCAAAAAGAAGGCGGCAGCATCTGGTCGGGAAATTTATGTAATAATATTTTAAAAAAAATCTGCCTTCATGCTTAACACACTTAAAATGACAATTTGGGTGAAGATTATTTGAGCTATAAAAAATGGGATTATAATAATAATATTATAACGATGCGTGTTAATAGCCGTTGGTTAATAACTTGACATATAGGTAGTATTTTGTGTTTAGAAATATTAAAGTAATGAATATTGTAGAAATGTTAATATTGGTATTAGTTTTGGTTTAAATTATGAAACCAATTAACAATTATGCCGGTAACCCGTCCATATGTGATTTCCAATTGCATCTGTATTAGTAGGCTAACTGAAAGAACAAAAGTATTACCATGGAACAGAATTCCAACTAGTGTTCCAGTTAGTTTGATACGGTTTATTTAGTTACGGGGAGATTTTCTCAACCTCATTTTTACTTGACCGTGATAGAATTTAGTAATACTACTAATACACATGAATGGTTACCAAAATAAAATTCAAATACGTGAGTGATAATTATATGAATTTTGGACAGATAGCTAGGAACAAATCGCTAAACATGAGTGTATTCGTAAGAGACATGCTCTGGACTCAATGTTCTGATCTGCAATAGACTATTTATACATATTTATACCTGACGGCTGATGATGCATACAAGTTAGTTGCAAGTATGCAGTTTATCATAAGGCGGAATACGATTTAATTGAGATATAGTGGTTATAAGTTATTGAAATCAGTTAAGCCTATGTGTCATATTACGAAGTGATGTGGTGCTGCAAGATGTATTTAGCTAAATATGTTTTTACAAGATGATTAATAGTGAGTGATGCTCATGTGATTATCAGGGAGAACATAAGTTGTAACCAGGGGGAGTACACTCCCAACTCATGTCTATGATAATGGCTTGAACCTTAGTCAGTGTTGGGGTAAATTCGACATTGATGTTTTCAGTTTGCAGGAGATTTGCTCGACTGCTTATACTGATTATTTGCATGCATGATTGTGTCGCTAAACCATCAATTAGACTGACAAGGTTTTGAGATATTTACTGAATGAGCAACTGATAGAGAAACATACTGTAATTATCTGTGATTGATGAAGATACCAAGAAAACAACACCATTTAATGGTAATTATAAGTCAATTTGTTGACCGATTACGTTAATAGTTTCATTAATTTTATCAGTCATATTACGTGATTGTCAAGTTATGACAATGCTTTATGACGATATCCTGAAACTATTACGTTTAGCTAGTTATAGTGTTGATTGAGGATTAGTCAGTAGAAAAATAGGTATTGTTGATTTAGGTGATTCAAAATTATCAGAAATTTATAACGTTAAAGAATCCGAGACGCCTAATTTAATTATAAATTTTAATTCAGAAATATTCGTTTAGTGTTAATTCTAGTAGGCTACGGAGCTGTGATTTTAAACGTTTGTTTAGCCAACAGCTACTTGGGGATTTAGTTATTTCACTAGTGCAGTTGATAGTACCTAAATTTTTAATCTTATTATCTAAACTATGTTCGCATTTTAGGCTGCTAATATGATAAACCAATCCATAAACCCAAATACGATTAGCAACAACGACTATGATGGGTTTATTGATAAATGCTAAAGGCGATTCAGATGATTTCTAAATTCAAAAGATATGAAGATATAGTGCAACGTATGTACGGGCCAGATTAACAAGCAGGTTGTTGACGCATATGACGATTTAAAAATAATGAACATGACCAGAAAATAGTTTTAAAGTTTAGACTGCTTGTGAGACTTCAGGCAGGAATATGATGCGTTATAAACATTCCATAAGGAGTTACAGCATTTAGCCTAGGGACACTTACAAATATGTGGCAAAAGGAACCGGAAAACATATACATGTTAGTAAAAAAAAATCATTAAGTAAAATAGTTGAACTCGCCTGGGTTATTTTTGAAAATTAGATTATTCAGTGGACGACATATATAACGCCATTCGTGAGGAGTAGTAATGATCCAAAAGCATCCAGAATAAAACATACAGTATGGCAATCACTTCCAGGGTGCTTGATGCTGTTGAGGTCTTTGGGACTCGCTCTGATCAGAACAACTGAATGAATCCAGATAATTGTGTGTGCCATCTAAAATGAACTTATGATTGCAGAAAACTTATAGCTGGAACTCACCGTATGTTTTTGGAGTAGTCATCCTCGTTGTTTGGCAATGGAACTCGAGAATATGAAATTAGGCAGGCAGTGGTCAGAAGAAAAGATATTACAGGATAGTGCATCGTTTTAAAACAGGATGAGGTGTTAAGTGAAGGAACACTGAGAATTAGATCCACATAACTATTTAGTCCTTAATCGCATTGTTAGTCAATGTATATTTACGCTATTTACAGGTCATATTTGCTAGAGCTTGATGTTTAAACAAGACTATGTCGCTGAAGCATGTAAATGCTATTACAGCTTGTTAACAGACCATCAAAGCTAATTAGTTAATATAGACGACCAGTTTTTATTATCAATTGAGCTAGTTTGTCATGAGGACTGATCAATATAACATTAAAATGATGCATGTGAGCATTAATCAGAGGACTATTAGAATACAGGGTTAACATGAATATAAAATCGATCGAGAACGTTGAAGTGGAAATAAGGATTAATAATAATAGGTTGCGTTTCTTTAGTTGGGCTCACCAATGTAGAACTATGGTCTACTATGATATTAGTACTGCTCTAATAATAGACCTAATCCTAAATTTGTAGATTCGTCATGATATAACTGCCTAATCTATAAGATCTTACGTGGAAGTCACACCATCGACTACGCCAACTCACTGTATCGTATCAATTACCAATACATGATGAAGAACGAGGTTAGGTTAGAGAAAGAACAATATATTTAATATGAATAGAGACCACGCCTGCATGGCCGAGCCATGCCACTCGATCAACTCCAGTCCATTCAATTCATTGTTCGCGCCTTCTCCATTTTTAGGTATTTCTCGGCGTTAAATATTGAATATTTATTTTCTGAGTAGTCTCGTGTTCACAGCTTTGTGGATTGTGTGGCTATTGTCCAATGCCACTACACTTCATCTAGTAGGTGCATAGTATGTACGACCAGCCCGTCGTAAATCTGAAGACGCTTCGAGAACGTTTTTGAAGAGACTTTGTTTTAAGCTAACGAGATATACCACATCATGATAATCTTTACCACGACCTTAAACGTTCTGGATTTTTAACGCACTGAAACTGAATGCATCACGCACCAAAACCTTCTTTATACACTTTTACGTAATAAATGACGTTCTACTTGCATATCGAATTCTGAAAGGAAGAGGTAGGATGTAACTTGAAATAAGAGACAGTATCCTACAGACACTGTATAATACAGATATGAATTACAATAGTAGTAGTAATTTTGGATAATGACGTCAATCCCGTCATACTACAAATGCTAATCGAAAAAATAAACCAGAATACTGAATAGGCTAGAGCTCGTTTATTCCATAATGAGTTTATGGAACTAAACTCACTCAATCAACAAGAGCTGATTTCGTTTCTACGATTTTTTTGGCATTTATTGTTTTATTCATTTAAAATTTGTCGTTCATGAATTTCAATGATCTGTGTTGATGGTTATGGTTACTTGATTTGGACAGGAATGCTGAGGCCTCTTGACTAACGCTGAGGTCACATCTAGTGGCAAACACTTAGCATAGATTTGTCTTTTCTGACAGTCAGGTGAGTCATCTACTGTGATAAATGGGTAGAATAGATAGTATTACTGCTAGAACAAGATGTATCAGTAAGGACTTTGAATGCCTCAGTGTATGCGTGCAGTCGATTGGTGCAAGTTAATCATCCTTGCCACTGATGGGGCTCAATAAACTGTTCGACATACAGTGATATTATGGATGATTTAGCTACGGCTCAGTGTCAGTTCACTGGCCTCATAAGGTTTAGTAACTTATTCAAATCTCTTCCAAATGTGCTGATAATCATAGAACATCGTATACTCCCTCATTTTCTGAATCATCTAAATTTGGTGCAGAATACGAGGACAAACCACTTGAGAAGTCATTAACAAGTACTTCTGATGCCAAAACCTACATGTAATTCGACATTGAATCTCATGTTTAGCGGTACTAAGTGCGTCAAGATTTTTCATTGTACTCTGGCGCCTGTTTCTAACCAGATGTAAGTCGACTGTGTTTTATGTAATTTCTTGTTATGTCAACTGACTCTCAAATTATGTTTTTGAGGGTTATCAGCTGTAACACTAGCATATTATGATTTGTTTTTGGGAGTTGTGTTCGCAAAGATATATTCGTTTGTCAAGTTATTCTACTTCGCCTCTTTCAATTATGATAATGTTTACTGTTACTGTTTCAGACATAGTGTTAATTCAAGAAATAATGATAAATAATTTTCAGTAACTCACAAAGTGGTTCAGACTATGGTTTTTTTGTTAACCTGCCTTGTACTCTGTAATTTCCACTGATTAATTACGAAGTTGGTGATAGGACTACATTGGAGTTTTGAAAATGAGCCTTAGTGTAGGTTTCAATGATGTTCATCGTGGTATCTGGAATATATATGCCGAAGAGGGTCTCACATCTTTTAGCTGTGCGGTAGGTGTTTTGAAGCGTAATACCATAGCTGTGGCGTTACAAATAATAACTAAAAGTATCTGGTCGCACGTATTAGGACAAAAGATTAGTGCGGTTTATTTTTTATCATTATACGTGCATACCATTTTTGAACTATAACTAACTGTATGTTCCTTCTGTTACCACTGTCTAGTGAAAGACTTGCATTGTCTGTGATTTGGAAAAAATGAAATATATGATTTATGCACTGTTCATTCAAAGAGATGATAGTATCACTAGATTTTCATCGCGCTTACTTATCACTCTTTGGGTTTCGCATTCACAGTCCATATGCATGACTGTTTCTCTCTGTAAAATAACAAACATCAGAGCATAGTGAACTAGTTTGTAGCCCACTCTTTTATCAGGAATAGTTTAGTTAACCCTTTAATGTTTACCTCCTGATTTATGTCCCCAGTGATTTCTAAAATTCGCAGTTATGGAGCTTTTGATATCATAGGTTTTGATATATCTGTCATGACACTTCATGAAACGTAATTGATTAATATTTTTCAATGTTACAAAAATGATTTTGATAAATTGCTTCAAGCTGTTAAATTTTATGTCCGACTACGAATAATTTTAGTTTCCAGTGTATAAAGCCGTCACTATATGAGTTCGTATAAGGTGATTTTTCATATTTATCATTGAAGCCTTGGATCGTATGAAGACTGAGTTCAGTGATTTAAGTACTTCTTTCCCATTGATATTGCTAATAGAGTGAAACCTTCAGGTTTTGAATTGAATGATTGTTTTATCTGATTTTCTAATTTTTTGTTGACGAATCTCACGCGCTATCAGTTTTACTATTATCCGTCTTTTTAATCACTTTGTCAAGATGTCTTAAGTGCATTAAATCTTATTTTAATTATCTTAAACGTAGCTCAAAGCGGCAAAGTCACTCTTGGGTTTGAAAAATATCTTCGATACACCACTCATCTTACTATTTTGATATGTTTACTGAATAACGCTTTTTATGTTCAACTTTCCGATGGATTAGGTTGTGCTCACTCTGCTCTAATCTTCTTATGCCTTGTATGGTGGTTTAAAATAAGTTCAATTTAGTCCATACATATTTGTGTCAGGTTCCATACTGAATATAACTGGTTGACTAGCTAATAACAGGAATAATTTCAGTTGTCGATAAATTTGAAATGTAACTTATGAATCTTCTAATTTGATACTGTTCTTCATTCAATCAATTATGACTTGGAGTCCATCGATAATAACTTCTCACTTTTAGCAGTTGTTTCTTAAAAACTGTATAAAGATCTTGTAATTAGAATGTTTATTGTTTTGAAGCCGGTAGCTTTGAATTCAAAGATAAAATTATTTATAAAGCTGCATTGCCATTATGGTTATGATTAGTTTAATCGTTTCTCACATTTTGTTCAGGATAATCTATAAATCGGTGCACAATCCGTGACAGGCACCTATAAATGACGTCAGATATCGCTAAACGTCAGAGAACTGTTCCATCAGCCAAAGCATTTGAATTTATCTGGAAAAGACCGGTTCCTGAAGTTTTGCAGACTGGGGAGCATTTTGATCGATATGATGAGGTAAATATCCACATCGAATTTCATCTGTTGTGATTTTGATTTAACTCATACAAGATCCGCGTTTATGTATTTGGCTTTGAGCCTTACTATGTGAGGGCTACTTATACTACCTGGTTGATCTTACTGCAATAATTAGAACGGGATTCAAACACCCTAATATTTGTTGAAATCTCAGTTATTTGGCCACTAACCTATCACTCATAGGATGCTAGTACTTTGCATCCCAAACTGATTTGCTTTTTATAGATTAAGTGAAAACTGAGTTACTATGTTAAAAGCGGTGCTTCCAAGGTAGATGAAAAACGGGTTTTGATCAATAATTCACTCAAGCTGTATTTATTATGTAAGTAATGCCGGGCTTATATGCCAACACACAATTAATTTTCTATTTTAATGAAACTAGGTATGTTGACAAGCTTTTTTCACTTAGTGGTAACTCAGCAGTGCAATTGGAAACGTTCATTAGTGCTCTGTTAAAAAGCTAGTCTTAGATTGAACAATTACGAACTAGTATTTTGTTTTCTTACAAAATTTCAGAAATATTTAAGCAGTATTTTATATTTTATGACTGCTCGTTTACAAATTGCTTTGTTCAGAATGTCTATTTTTCTTCTACGTGTTTTATTTATACCAGTATTAGTAACTCCAGCTTTTATTACAATGTCATATTATTACATGATTGCCAAAAGTTGAAGTGTTTTACCAGAGTACTTGTTATTTCTCTACACTACAGTAGAAGCAGAAAAGAAAACCAACTAAAGCTGAAAGATATTTTAACAGCAAATAGGATGTATGTTCAATAATTTGGCGAAAATAAAAAGTGAATACGTCCGCCACATTGTGGTTGATTATTAACCAAATCGCCTGGCGCTTTCGACCGCTTATTTTTGTTATCACAATGACCTCAATGAAATTTGTACTTCCCTATAATATCTAAATCAACAACCAATATCTTTATGAGCTTGTCATTTTTAATACTTTATAATTTTAGTCCTATTTTAGTTGGTATCAAATTATTTTTATGTTGCCATAATAAACCTTTCTGCTGTATATCCACGTGTAGCCTAGTCGTCGCAGTCTTGAGTGCTGTTAGAGGTATGAGGACGGTTATCGCTTCCTGGTTGCCCATACCGTGGAAGGGTTCTTCTGAAGGTACCTGAAAAGGAAATTGGACTAAAGGAGGTCTTAGTAACCTGAGAGCGTGACCGCAGTGCCCAAGGGACAACTGCTTGAGGTCGGTCACACACGACCTTTTTATGGGTGATTTTTGTGTTAGCTCCGTACTTGTTGAGACCTTACCGCCGGAGATGGATATCCGTGGGATAAGGCGAGGTGTGCATTTTTAGGGTCGACCTTTTCTAACCCCACCCCTCCTTGTGGGAAGGCAGCATCGCTGTCATGCTGGTTGTCTGAAGGAAACACCTTACTGCTGTCACACCTATGTACAGTCAGCAGTACGACTTCACCTTCGGACCTTGGGTTTGTTGCTTTTAGTCTTACAGTTCTTCAACCGACCTGTCTGACACGGTAGGACCTTGAGGAACGGTTGTTCCAACCAGTATAGCTCGATTGCTTCATCACGAAAGGCAAGCCCGACCACCACGTCAAGGTAGCAACAACGGTCGGGTCGTGGCAGTAATACTACTGTTTAAACACAACTCCTAGCTCTTGAAGATTAATGTGTGTATAAGCAATTTAAATATGTAAGAGGACTTCCCAATATTTTTCTTAGTTTGCTAGGTCTTATAGTCTGTGTAATAAAACAAATTTGATCTTACAGCTTTAAAGACGTGGGATTTGTTATCTGTGGATCAAAATTGTTAGGATTTATGGCTAGCTCTATTTCTTTTGAGATGATTTCTAGTTCTTACTAATGGATAATGGCGTGCGAATGTATCATTGTGACTTATATTATAACCAATCATTTCTTATTTATTTCTACTTAAAACTAAACCATCGCCAATCTAGTTTTGTCGTTACGTTTTCACATTTTAGCTCAATGTTATCGGATAATAACAAATATTTTGTGAAAATCTCGTACTAGGAACATAGTAGATCTCATTGCATACAGTAATGCTTATGTGTAGTAACGCACTGCGTATTGTTGAGGTGAAACGACAAAGTTTTACAGATTTGTAAGTATAACAGACTATCATTCCATCCATAAAATTTGACCGTATTTTGAAAGGATACGAATTTTACTAAATATTACAATTTGAGATCTCTGTCTGTTCATTTAACACCAGTTTAAAATTTAGTAGTTCTATACGAATTTTAATAGCTAAAAGATATGTCATGTATAGGGTGTGGCTTTAAGCATTATGAGATTATACCATATGACATTTCTTGGCAAGTCGTATAAACACATCTGAAGATCAAATCTCTGAGCAGCAAATGTTGTCCTGTCAGTATCAAAATTACGGTTATAATTTCTTTTCAAAAAGAGTTACTGTTAATTTTAAGACTAATGGTACATTCTCGTTTTATTTGGTTGCTGGAAATTGAGGAACTTGAAGTAAATCATTTAATAGAACAGTTAATTATCCGTCAAGGAAAATGTATTGGCGGAAGTTTCGTTATAGACAAATTTGCTGTGGAGTACTTTACCTTATTCGCAAAATATTTGTTAAGTGATAAACAAATTCTTCTCAGCCGATAACTATCACCTTAAATATGACTGAAATGACTGTATAAGCCTTAATGATAGAAATTCAATTGTAAAAGGAATAGGTTTTTGAGGTTGAAGTATTGAAAATTTTTGTGCACTGTAAGACCAAGATCAACCAATATCTTCATGTAAAAAGCCTCATCGAATTAGGATCAGAGAGGAAATGCTTATTATCGATTTCACTTGGTCATAAGAATAATGAGTTGCTTTCATAGACACGCTAGTATTTTAAAGGTGCTTTGTTTTCTGATGGTTTAATTAAGAACCTTTTATTGTTTTTCCTCATATCATAATCAGCACAACCTTCAATAAGAAGTGAGTTATTAGAATTTCTCCACAACTGACTTGCAGCTTGTTCTGTTGATCTAGAATTTGATTGATTGTTGTTCATACGTGTGTGACCGTTGTTCGAGTGTTTGTTTTGATTGTTTCTACTTCTGTCCTCATTTCTATCCTTGGTGTTTTTTATCTTTCTCCTTACTACTTGGTAGGTTGAGCCTATTTCAGTATGTTTGTTGCTTGGTACATGACTTGTGTGTCAGGCTTCTAAAAACTTTCTGTTCAGGACTTTGACATTTTCCCAACTGAACTCGTATCCATAGTTCTTTACATGCACTAATACAAGTGAAGCCATGCCGTGGCGTTTAAGGGATAGCTGATATTCACTAAGACGTAGTTGGAGAGACAGCCAATTTGTCCTTATCTTGAGCTACAAATATTCCCCATCATTTCAGAATCATGCGAGCTTAACACATTTCTTGCTGTTCGAAAATTGGATAACTTTGCTAAAGAGCAAGCTTGAGAATAGAACAATTATATTTTCTCTACAAATGTTTACACTAACATGTTTTACCATCAGGTGTAAGATATGGACCACCAATCAACAAATGAAGACAAATCGAACATCATCTACAAAATAAACTCCAGCAACTGTTAATGGTATTACATACGCCAAGGCAGCTGCACTATGAAGTCAACTGATTTTGTGTTTGTAACACTTTAATCATCAAAAAATAAAACGTTCGAAATCCCCATTCTGAGCTATGAATATTCCCCATCATTCTAGGATTTGTAGTGATGGTGTCGCTTAATTCTTGAAAGGTGAAGTCTTTAAAGCACCCAGTTATGGTTGCCATATTAATCGCTTTATTCGAATTCTGAGTTACTCACAGAGTAAGCAAAGTAACTCTGGAAGGTTACGTAAAACTATTATCTTCAAGGTTTCACCCAGTCTCTAAAATAACATATTGTAGTTGAATAAATGATTATCTGTTAACTATAAACAGTAACTATTGGCCTTTCTGAGTAGCGCAATGGCTACTTACTGTATCATTGTTTCATTTTCCAGCACAGGATGATACGATTTTCCAGAGCATATGGAGCTGAGTATTATCAGTTCTCAAGTCTCACTTAAATTGTACTATAGATCCATCTTAATTATTTTTCTGCCTACTGTTCCTCACTGCTCTCATGGCCTATATGTGTATTCTGTATTAAAAATCATACATAAGATGGTAACAGATGTGGTCTCCTGAAAGTTTGCTTTCTTTTGAATGTTAATGAAATGAGTATTCACGGTTTGCTCCAAACAGGAGAAAGTGTCGAGATGGTAGAGAAGATTTCTATCTCAGGTGTATGATTTTGGTAGTTTCATTCTCTGATCTGTAGAAATCTAGTTGGTTATGAATTTACGCTGTTTTTGAGCTACAACTATGGAATTGAAGTGTAGTTAGTAATTTGGAACTATATCTAGTGTGTTGATTTCTGTTCATTATGTTATTTTTGTATTCTGTGGTTATAAAGTTAAAAGGGATGTATAGTTGGCTTTAAGTGTTCTGTTCTTTATTTATCTAGCTTTGTAGCCGGTAACTGAATTCGTATCCAGTTTTTTTCAAGGAAGCTATGAACTAAGCGTAATATAAGCACCTAGTTTTCGAAATGTAATTGCTGAAGTATTTTTAGACTCGTAACTCGGCCAGTAAGTAAATATCCACTGGTTCACTCATTAATTTGTAGTCCATCATGTACTAAACAAAACTACCGTGACCGATTAATTTTCATAAACTTGTTTCTAACAAGATGTTGGTGTCTTTGGTTTTCACTTTGATTAGCAGTGAACTCAAATAATTACATTGAAGTTATATGAACTTCCTGATTGCCTCAATGGAGTTAGTTGATATAAATTAGTTGTTAACCCTTGAAAAATTATCGAAAATTCTAATTAACTGAAATAAATGTATTAAATTAAAACTGTATCGCCAAAATTCCTTACGTTTGGATGACTTATAACCACAAGATGCAACTCGGTCAATACTGTGGTGTATAAATGTGTAAACATTATGTGATTACGATCCGGGGGAATTCACATGTTAGCTATAAAATATACAAATTTAAGCGCATAACTATCTTTAATATTTTATCAATTAAATAAACTTGAACTTATAGCTCTGTGAATTACTAACACTTTTTTTCTATTTATTATTTAGGAAACAGGAATTCTGGAACCAAACTGTTTCGTTCGGGTAGATAAAGATGGTTTTTTTATATACTGGCAAAGTGAAAACAATGTAAGGTTAATAATGTCTATAGAGTGTCGGTTTTATTCTAATTAATACTAAATAACTAAGGATATATGGTTATTTTTACTAAGATTTTTATGATTACATATGTATTCAAACATGTAATATTTCCCAAACGCGAAAGGTAAGAAAACGTGTACGACGAAACGAATCGTTTCCTGTCACCTATTTTTATCCTTTTGTTTGGATAATCGTGTTGGATGGTAAAGTAAAGAGTCATACATTTGTTTATTAGAAGGAACTTGAAAAGTCACTCTTTGACTGTTTAGATATAATGAAGTTATGTTAAAATTAAAATACAGAAATCATTTGAAAATTTGTCGCCAAATAAATAGTTTATGAAATGGAGATCTTGACATTTAAGTGAAGTTTGAAAAAAAATCTGCCGGTATGAACAATTATAAAGTGATAATTATGGTAATTGAGTGTAATAATAATAATAATTTAACAAGGTAATAGAAATAAATTGTGTCATAGTTTATTGGGTACTCTTGGTCATTTTTAAAACAACAAAAATAACTGTAGAAAGGTAAATGAATATTTAGGGAGGCGCGAACCATGATTTTGTGTTAGTCTATGGAGTCATTGACTATTGAGTTGGACCATGTTGGTAGATGTAGACTACTAGGTTTAGATCTGCTCGATTATCGTAATCAACGGTTTAAAATGTTGAGTGAAGAAATGATTTAGATACATTCACTCGTTGCCTTTTTACTTAGATCCAGAGTTTTAAAATAATCTTATAATTTTTAATTCACAAATTCAATGTCGATGCCGAATGTTTTGTACTACAAATGATACTGTTATCACTTCTACTACTATTTGATTTGTCTTGAAATGTTTTCATCTTGCTATAACGATGTACTTTGGCAACTCGAATAGGCATACATATGAACCAGGCTCTACGTTACCTATGACTGACTAACTGATCTATTTCCGACTGTAAACCCTTATGATCTAGACAATATTTAATAGTGACTTAAAAAATGAGAACGCATTAAGATTTAGATAACTGTTTGATAATAGAAAGGTTTCATAAATTGCCAAAAAATGAAATAAAAAAGAAGGATACTGATGAAATTATTTTCATTGTTTGGGTGAAAGAATTTTAACTAATCCTATGTCTCCACCTTTATTATGATATTCGTCCATTTTTTTGAATGACCTATTATAACTAAAAATGTTCTGTGGTAGTTCATTATTTTATTTGTAAAGTTTTTTGAAAACTCTTTTCTTATTTTATTTTAAGTTACTTGTTTGTTAAATTATCAAATCATAGTTGGAAAACTTATGATAAGTGATTAGTTACTGTTCTCTCTCTTCTATTTTTTGTTCAATGTTTTCGTGTTTTTGTTTTTAAATTTTAAATTAAAACAAAAATACATCTCAATTGGTTTTTATTTTTTTACATTATTAATTCCCATTTATAGGATAGTCAGCAGCTTGAACTCTCTCAAATAAGTGATGTTCGTTCTGGAACAAAACCTAAGGTAACTAAATATATATGATACTAACCGTTATTCTTATTGCATATCTTTGATATTAAAAGTTTTATAGTGAACTCTCTTTCACACTTCAAATTGAGGCATGTTAGATTTGAATTCGATGTTCAATAGCATAAATTTGAATACTTAAAATCCTATTGCACTAGGGTTTCATTTACTGAATTGATTCATGTACAATTTATTCACATAAAATTCTCATTATTAGTTCTATATAAAAATGTTATAAAACAGCGAACCACCTAAATTTAATTAAATAGACATTTTATACACTATTATGTTTTATAATGTTTCAATATAATATTAATGTGTAAAGTGATAGAGTGAAAATAGATATAAGGTTATAATTTTGAATAAGTGGATTGTGATTGGTAGTGAAATTCATGATGTGCGTTTTATCATATTTGACACTCGTCAGTCGAGTGTACGTGCTTCTCAATGTTGAAACTCACATTAAGGCCCTAACCCATAATATGAACATGTCCCAATAAAGACTGATCAAAATTGAATCATGATCATCAACAGGATAATTCAAAGATCTAATCATAGTGGCACGGTGTTATAATATTTAATGAAATATAGATTGTTTGCAATAACCCAAAAATGTATTGAAAAGTGGTTTCTACAATATTGATTAATAACTATGTGCCTTTAACAGGAAGGTATTTTTGCTGCATTTTTGTATGTACAGTCTTTTCATCATATGATTTTTTTTTTACACTGGACAGGATGTTGCAGAGTCTTTCTTACATTTTGTTTTTATTCAAACATCCTTTTACCTCATATTTCTAGAGAATAAGCAAAGAGAAAATTGTGAGTGAAGTAAATGATTTATATGTGATAATTAAACTGACCAGGTTATTCTCGGATTTTAAATGTTTATTCACAGCTTTATTCGTAGTAGACTCAAAGTGATTTCTCACTAAATTTATCAATTACGATTCTATGTAACACAGAATTACTCTGTTCTAAGACGTCCAGAAATAAAAACAGAACGTGGAGGTCTTCATAATTCAGTCAACCACCAGAAGAAAGAGAAAGGAGAGTAGGCAGCCTTGTCTGACACCAGTCCTCACCTGAAATGTGTCTGTCAGCTGTTCTCCAAGCACCACTTTGCACTGTAGTCCGTCGTGTGAGTTCCGGATGATTTTGACGATTCCCACACGTACACCATAGGGTCAAGGAAGTTCCCATAATGTTCTCCTATCCACACTGTCAAACGCCTTCTCATAGTCAAGGAAATTGATGTAAAATGACGAGTTCAACTCACCTGATTGTTCAATGATGATCTGTAGTGTCTTGATTTGAACTATGCACGACCGATCCTTACGGAATTCGGGCTGTTGATCTCGAGGCTTAACGTCTACTGAATCTTTCATCTGGTTTAGCAGCACTCTGTTGACAACTTTTCCTGGTACTGACAGTAGTGTGATTCCTCTGTTGTTCTCACATTTGCTCAGATTTCCTTTCTTTGGTATTTTGATGAGGTATCCTTCTTTCCAATCCATTTGCACTTGTTCTTCCTCCTAAATCTTCCTGAATAGAATGTGGAGCATCTTTGCAGTTATTTCTATTTCTGACTTCAGTACTTCGGCTGGTATATTGTCAGGTCCTGCTGCTTTCCCACTCTTGGTTTGTATGCTGACCATCCTGATTTCTTCGATTGTTGGTGGAGTGACATCTATAAGAATGTCTATGTGTGCTGATGGAGCTGGAACATTCAAGAGTTCCTCACATTACTTTACCCATCCATTCTCCTGTTCTTGAATCTCAGTGATTGAGGGGCCTTGTTTGTCCTTGACCGGTCTCTCTGGTTTACTATATTTCCGTGCCAGTTTCTTTGTTGTTTCATATAGCTGTCTAATACTTCCTTCTTTTGCAGCTTTTTCTGCTGTCGTTGCTAGCTCTTCCATGTATTTCTGCTTGTCAGCTCTAACACTCGTCTTGACTTGCTTGTTCGCTTCTGTGTATTCAGCTTGTGCCTTGACTTTCTCTGTTCTCGTTCGGCTGTTTCTAATCTCTATCTTCTTGTTGTTTATTTCTTGAATCTTGTGTAGTGTTTCCAAAGAGATCCATTCCTTATGATGATGTTTCTTGCAGCTCGGAACCTCCTGACACGTTGAAGTTAGTGCTTCTTTGATCCGTTTCCAATTTTCCTCCATTGAAGTTTCTTCTTCTGTGAGTAGATCTTGTAAGGCTTGGGACCTGTTGTTGAGAGTTATCTTGAATTGGTTGAGTTTGTCATTATGTCGTGACCCGAGTACATCAGCATCTCTCGCGAATCTGTCTTTTTCCGTTGAGCTTGAGTCCAATGGGTTTCGCTGATTTTGAGTGCAGTCAGGTTGTATCTCCTCATTTCTGTGGCTATTTGACTGGTCCTTTTGGTTACCCACGTTGTCCGGACATTAATTGTTACTGTGGTTGCTTGAAGGGTAGTCGGCCTTGTGACTTCTGAATAATCTCGGCTTTCATTATGAGGCATCATAATTCTTCTGAACGAAGACTCTTCATCTCAGAGAACAGAGTTTGAATGGTTTAATTTGTTTAATCTGATTGGTGTTTGTTTAGAAAGATTGTTTTTTACGTGATGGGGCTTTTGACTCCATGCTCGACTCTCCTGCTCTATCCGGCCTTTGGTCCGGCGGCAACGTTAGGAGAGCTCCAGATGGAGTTACAATGTTTATAAGTGACCTAATAAGTAGTTTTGTGACATACCTTATAGATATCCTATTATTCGCAGTTTCATTAAACTATTTAAAACGCTTATCTAATACATTATGCATAACATGAGAACTTCAGTCGAACCTTACCCATGAAAAAAGATGATCGATTTTGTCGTGCAAAATGTTCAAGAAAAATTCCATCTATCGGTGCCCATTATATCCACGTTCTTTGTAATTAGTTTGATTTTTATGTTGTGAAAAATGCAAATATGGTGACGTTTTTGTGAAGGTAAATGAAATATAGATGTCCATTGGCTACTCTTAATAATTAATTGCTGGTTTCTAAGCACTGAGTACTCTTCAATGTATACTAGTAACGTCTTTTTAGTTTGTTAACATTTAGATTCAGGTGATATGTATTTTTATACTATGTATGAGATTAGGTTCTCACTGAGAATTGAATGGGCCTTCTGTGATTAGTGGATTACATGACTGAATTAATATAATTGTCTCTCCTTGAAATCGAGAAACTTAATTCTAATATGAAAACTTTTAGATACCAAACTGAGATTAACGTATTAATGTTCACTGAATAATCTATGGTTTTGACCGTACTTGGGAATCAAACCCAGGACTTTTTAGTCTCATAACGAGCACTTAATTTTTATACCTTTGAGTCAGAATCTAATGTTTTACACATCATCTATGTGCCCTGCTGAGATGTTCAAGATGAGAATAAAACAACTATTCACCTCTTCTGTCTTCAATGTTTATTGAAGTAAGGTTAGTCAATGATCTTAACGATTAGATCACCTAATAAGCAAGTTAAAATCGTCACAAAATGCTTTGCTTTTGAATCGTAATGAAATAAATAATTCTAAATAAATTCATTTTTCATAAAAAATAAGAATATAGCTGTGAAAAGATGTACAAATTAGGATTCATGATACTATTTTAGGGATGACCGAGTTAGAATCTGTAATCTAGTGAAATTCATGTGCAATAGTCAATTCGTGAATCATAACTCATATGTCGGTGTTTTTTTGTCTCCACTTCTCTCTCTACCGCCTCACTTTATTAATCTCTCTTCTGATGACAACTATCATAATTATAACAGTGAAGTTTCTATGGTTTACAAACTAAATCGGTAACCCTCTATCTTTTCTATTTTTGATTTATTTTCGATAATCGGCCTTACTGTTTTTATCAGGACAGTAAACATTTATAAAAACATTTAGAGGTCGACTGATATAATCAGTATTGTTGGTATACAAAATACCATATAAGTTCCTTAATAGTATTGTTAATTTTTATAGTTAATTTGTTTTAATGGACTATATCTAAATGATCTTTTCAATATACATTTCTATTAGTTTGGTATTTTGAAATTTAAATATAATACTTTTTCGTACTTCAATTACAGTAATTTTTCTCTGTAACTGTTAGGGTGTTATTACTTGTTAGTAGTTAACGGTTCTGCATTCCATAGTGCACTGGTGGCCTGCTTGAGTTTCCGGGTTACCTGTTCATGCCATCTAGATATTTCAACAAATTATCTGTTTTTGTTTGTTTCGACACATCAGCATGCATATTAATAACGCAACCTATTCAGGCATGTTTATGAAAATTAACGACTTTTCGCTGTACAAGTTACAATAAAGTGCAATCAACGCCATCGTCTTGATTGGTATTATGGATTGAAAAGAATAAACATTATCAAGATGTCAGTTCCTGAACTGCTAACACCAAATTAGCAATGACTAATTGCCAAGATGAACTGTCTTCAATTCCTACTAACTCTAAACATGTATGGGTGTGGTATAATCACAATTCAAGAATCCTGGTTAAATGATTGACAAGACGACTGCTCACTATCAGTACAAGATTTCAATATTTATCATCAGGATCGATCAAGAAATAAGAAAGGGAAATTTGTTGAAACACTTTGTGCTGAGAATTCTATATTGTACGAAAAATATAATATTGCATAAAGCCATTCAGTCAGTCAGTTAGTAACAACGTAGAACTTCGTACGTACGTACATCAGTTCGAGTTGCCACACCACATTAGCACAGAGATGCAGTTGTCGATTCAAATCCCATAGTGGTAGAGGTAATAAGAGTATAAGCAGTAGTCGGGAAGATTAGGGTTTGGAGATGTTATTTAAAGAGTATAATCCAGTGAAATAAATTTGGAAAGAGGAAAAAAGGGACATGAAGAATTCAGAAGATTAGAATTTGGGAGAACACAGAGAGTGGATGCACCTGCGCCATTGCAAACGATTTTGAGCCATGTCATTCAGGGTCTCTAACCATCGGTTGCTAT